TTTTTTTTTTTTTTTGGTACCAGGGATCCAACTCTGGACCTTGTGCTTGCGAGGCAGGCAGCAGAACCACTGAGCTAAATCCCCGGCCCGGTCTGAGCCATCTTCTACACCAATGACAGAGGCTGTACCAAGGGCCGTGGCTCCGAGGGCTTCCGGGAGGGGCTGGGCTGTTGCTTGTCACCCTTCTAGAAGGAGGAGCGAAGGGAGAATGATAACACCACCAAACAAAGTTCTGAGCGCGGCCCATCCCCAGGCAGTGCCCGCCTTCCCGGAAGATAGAGTCACGGTCCTGTTGCCAACGGGAAAGCAGGGAACAGAGTTAATTTGCACTCGGCCCAAAGTTAAGAGATAGCGGAGGCAGCTGGGCACCAGCGCGGGCGTCAGCGCCCAAGCCTGCCCTCTCTCCCCCTGTCGTGTTCGGCCTCCTCTGGAGGGTGACGAGGCTGGAGGCCATCAGAGGGCCTGGTGGGGCTGCTTGGGCCTCTCCCTTCCACTTGGGAGCTTGGAGTCTTTTCAACCCCCTTCGAATCCCCCGTGCTTTGGTTGGTTTTTTGTTTTTTTGGCACCCAGAGGTCTGAACAAGGACCTGTGGCCCAAATCCTCCGGCGCCCTCTGCTGTTCAGTTGGGAGACGCCCATGCGCGGCTCAGCTCAGCTGGGCAAACAGGCTCCAGTCAGCCTGGAGTACAGGAAGTTCAGGCGCTGCCTATAATCCCAGCACTCTGGGAGGCTGAGTCAGGAGGATAACGAGTTCGAGCCCAACCTGGGAAGTCCAGCGATTTGGTGAAATCCTGGTTTCAATCCCCAGTACAACAAACCAAACGAACAAATCAGGTGTCTTTGGAGGAAGGAGACAGGGAAATGGTGAGATGCTGGGCTGGGGGGCTGAATACTGTAGTGTCTGAGGTTAGCCAGGAAGTAAGCCAGTGGGCTGCGCTGGTGGCATCGGTGTCCCTTGGCTATGCACTCAGCCTCCCGGTGAAGGGAAAGATCTGGATGCAATGCTTGCTGTGGGCAGAGACACCAGGCCCTGAGAGATGATGCTCGGTTACAGCAAAGTAAGTGACACACATCCCAGGGTGGGGAACACCTTATTCTCTCTTCTCTGTGTGATGAGGAACAGGGCAGAACACAGAAATGTTCTGTAAACTGAGCTTAAGCAGCAACGGGCAGCTACGCAAGGCAGTGGTAGAGGTCAGGGCGCCGCAGCCTCTTGGTTTGTGTGTTACACCCGCGATGCTCCTGTGAGGCCACCTGCCCGGCAATGCACTTTGTCAGAACACATTTGTGTTCAGCAATGCCTGATGGGTACATGCATAGGTCCAAGATCTCCCTCAGCTCAGGCTGAACAGTAGTATTACTCTGTGCCCAAACTGTCCTCAGTACTCACAGCTATGAGCTCAGTCAGTCCCGGATGGTTCATGCAATTTGCTGCTCGGTAGTACCACGGTCACCATCTTGCAGGCAGGAGGACTGACACCCAATGACTTGCCTTCTTGGGTGCTGCAGGTAGGGAGGGCAGAGACAGAACTGAAGTCGCCCAGCCCAGCTGGCTGTCTGGGGCTCTTCATGGCTGCGAGCCCGGCTTCCCTGAGACACCTGGGGAACAGCTGCGGAGCAGGGACAGAGACTGGCTTCCCCAGAGTGCCCTGAGCTATGGTCACTAGGGTCAAGTTTAGAGGCACAAAATATCACTTAAAATAGCAGCCCTGGGAGGAGATTCAAGAGACAACTGGATGGCATGAAGGAAAGGGATGCCTTGCACTCCCCTGGAGAGGATGTAAACTGGTGTCGCCATGATGGAAAGCAGTAGGGAGCTTGTGCTTAAGGAACTACCTCGTAGACCAGCTGTCCTAATTCTGGGAACCTAGTGAAAGGAAGCAAAATCTGCATTTGAGGAGCTCTCTGAATTTCCCCATCTACTGTGGCATTATTCACAGTAGCCAGGATACAGAAACAACCTAAGGCTCTGTACTTGGGGTGAATGGATAAAGAAATATGGTGCATAACAGAATGCTTATTATTCATCAAGAAGAAGGAAATCCTGACGTTTGGGACACTGTGGATGAACCTCGGGGGCATCTTGCTAAGTGAGGTAAGTCAGATTCAGAAAGACAAATAGTGCATTATCTCAGCAATGTCTGGAGTCTAAAAGTCAAACTCATAGGGGCAGAGCATAGGATAGGGGCTGCAAGTGCTGGGAGAAGAGAGAAATGGGAGTTATTCATAAAGGGTAGGAAGCTTCAGCTACAAGATGAATAATTTCCCGGGGCCTAACACAGAGCGTAGCATCTGTAATTAATAATAATGAAATTGTTAAGATAGATCTGAAGTGTCCTCAACACACACACACTCACACACACACACACACACACGTGCGCACAAAATAGTAGATCTGAAGTCCTCAACACACACACACTCACACACACACACACACACACGTGCGCACAAAATAGTAACATGATGTGATGGGTATGTTCGTGAACTGAATTGTGGTAGCTATTCCATATCACATGAAAAATCACTACATTATACATCTTAAATATATACATTTTTTATTTGTTAATTACACAGAAATGGAAAAATGTAAATAAAATTTAAAAACAGCAACCCCGCCACTTTCGCCTCCTCAGCCTACTCTCTCTCCTTCAGGATCCAACATGGGCAAATATTTACACTTATTATTGCTTACTTCCCGTCTCCCTCCAGCTCCTGGCACACAGGAGGGCTCAGTACCTGCTTGCCCCCCCCGGGGGGGAGTTTAGGGTCCCCAGATCAGAGGGGGGCAGTGCAGCCAAGGGGGTGCAGGCTGCCTGGGAATTGAGACCCTGGGGTTTACCAGCCAAGGGTCACAGGGAGCAGGGGAGGCCCCTCCTTCCTGGTGAGTGCTGTCCTCCGAGTGCTTCTGGGGTGAAGCCCCAGAGTCCTTGAAACACTTCCAGAGCGATGCTGCAGAGACAGCACTGGTCTCTGTGGAGACCAGGAGCCCTGCTGCATGGAATAGCTGACCTTTCCCAAGTGCTTTGGAACCCATCGCCAGTGCTGACAGCACTCACCGGGAGGGCCGCTGGCAAACTCACTGAGAAAGGAGGGTGTAGGGACAGCTGAGGTGTAAAAATGGGAAGCCAGGTTCCAAGCCAGGTGGGCAGGCGTGGGGCTGAGTCAGGAGAGTCTCAGCAGCTGGAGTAAGGAGGCCCAGCCCCAGACCTCACTGGTCCCTTGGTCTCCTTACAGTAACCACCCCACTTCCAGCTCCCTGGGGAGGACTGTGGAGGCTGACGCCTTGTGGGTCAGCACCCGCACAGAGCCGGCTGTGTCCCTCAGGGGCTCTGGAGCCCACTCCTAAGCAGGAGGCTCTGTTGTCTCCCCAGAAGACGCAGAATGGATGCGGGGTCCAGGCCAGAGCCCGTGGGGTCAGCCAGGCCCCCAAATGAACCCCGACTCCCAGCTGACCCAGGGTGTGTGTGTGTGGTTGGTACAGGGAATTGAATGCAGGACCTTCACAGTGACCTACGTTCCTATTTGGGTTTTTTGTTTTGTTTTGTTTTTGGTACCAGGGATTGAACTTAGGTCCTTGTGCTTGCCAGAAGGCAGGCGACAGAACCACTGAGCTAAATCCCTGGTCTCAATTCCTATTTGTTTTTCATTTTCTCACAAAGTCACTGAGTTACCCAAGTTGGGCTTGAGCTTGCCATTGTCCTGCCTCAGCCTCCCCAAGTGCAGGGATTACAGGTGTGCACACCGTGCCCAGCTCAGGATAAATTTGACTTAGGTTTTAACATACGTTACTGAATCTAACTCTTTTTGCAGCACACAGCTTGTTACCGATTAACTTTCTCTCACCTTCCTCCCTTCTCTCCCTCAACCCTTTTGTACTTGTATTTAGGGCATCTCAGGACTTTTTCCTTAGCAGCCTCTTAACTCTCTGTACCCGTTTCATATGGGGTAACAAGAGTTCCCAACACAGTCTTCAGAACAGCGTTCTGTGTTAGTTTCTGCCACTGAAACGGGCAATAGAGACCTTGAGCACCTCAGATCTATGGAAATGAAGCTGTAAATCGACTTTATGAGCACTGCGGAGACAACTCTCTGTCCCAGTGTTTCCGGGAAAGTAGCCAGCCCTTGTCCCGTCTCCCAGTTGGGTCACTGCCGCATTTCCCAGCCTGACCACGAGGTGGCAGGCACGTCCTTCCCTGGCCACCGAGCAGCGCTGAGGTGGGAAGCCCTTCTGGGCGCGCGGGCCGCCTTCCTCTAGGCCTCAGGATGCAGGCCCTGGAGCCCTTCTTTCTGTTGTTATTCTTCCCCCATACGGAGAAGGACCTGCGCCACTACCCAGTGCGCCTGGCTCCTGTCCTGCTGGTCCCTGAGCACCGAGACTGCGTCTTTTCCCTCCCCTGCAGGATCTCTGTCTGGGGACCCCACCCAGCGTCTCCTCCCACACCACCCAGCTTCAGGGCCGGCCCGCAGAGTGGGGTCCCCGGGGCATCTCCAGGCCCGTACTCCCCGGCTCTCAGCTTCAACTGGGACTCTGCTGCGGGCTCAGGGCTCCGACACTTGGGGTGCCTGGGCTTTCGGGGTGAGACTTGTGATGGAGACTGGATCTCAGCGTCCATCCTGGTTCATGATGGAGCCACTATGGGTTTTTCTGACGGACATTCTGGGGCCACATGAGCTATTCTGCTGCTAAATACAGTAGTGGAAGATTACTATGCTGGGCTGGAGATGAATCTGAGATAACACGGAAAATATGCTGGGGGGAGAAGGTGTTCCAATGGGGTGGACACTTGCTTTCCTGCCTGCTCCCTGATGGTGACGTGCGGGAAGCCCCTTGCTGCCTGCGGACCTGCCTAGGGGCCGAGCCTGGCCTCTGCTCTCGCCCAGGCCTTGCACAGGACCCTGCCCTTGTCGTTACAGTGCCCTGGTTCCCAAGGACCATCCAGGAGCTGGACAGATTCGCCAACCAGATCCTCAGCTACGGGGCGGAGCTGGACGCGGACCACCCGGTGAGCATGTGGCTTGGGCAGGACAGATTTTCTCAGCCCCTCCTCTCCCTTGCCTCACCTCCTCCCACACCCTCAGCTTGGAACAGGTTTGTTTACTTGTCCAGCGAGCAATTACTGAGTTCCTACTTCTATGCCTGCCAGTGCCAGGGAAGTAAGGATTAACAGGACTTTGTTATCAGGGTCGTTATTGTCAGAGCAAATACGAATCACTGTCTAGAAACTTACCGTCTCTGTCTCGCACGCACGCCGCCGGTCCTGCCCGTTTCTGGGGTTTATCTGAGGGGCCCGGGAAGGAGCAGCTCGGGCTTCAGCTGAGGGCTCCACACAGCATGCGGGGCCTGGGGGTGGCTCAGAGTCCAGCGGTCTCCTCGCCAGCTGAGGACCGTGGGCCCAGAGGTCGGGGCAGGGGTCTCCTCAGCCCCTGCTCTGGGCGGAGGTGCCCGGGCCTTGGCTCCTGTGCCCAGTGGGCTGTCTGCATTTTCATGTTTGGCTCTGCTGGTTCAGTGCAGAGCAGCACCTGTCCTCCACCAGGAGTCTGTCCCGTCCCCACCATGGTCCTGAGGAGGAGGTGTCCCCTGCACAGACAGGCATGAGTGGACGCCCGGTGAGGATAGACAGATGCCTCCCTGCGATCTGCACACAGCTCTGGCCTCTCGGACTCTTTCCCTCTGTCCTGTCCTGGGAATCAAACTCAGTGTTGCGTGTCGTCCACCGACTCCTCCTCCAGGGCTGAGGGTGCCTGAGGACCAAAGCCCGGCTGCTCCCGGAAGTCCAGGCCTGGCACAGACACAGGGGGCGCTCCCTGAGGCCAGACCAGCCTTTTAAAAGGTGGACAACAGATGCTTTTCCTAATTCAAAGAGGAAAACCCCTTGCAGTGGCCTCAGAAGAAAATGAAGGTCTCTGTAGCTTCAGCTGTTTCTATTTTTCTCTTGGTCCTCATCTGCAGTGTTTTTACTAACAGAAATGAGGTGAAGTGCCACCTGTCCCTAAGATTTCAAAACAGGAAAAACAAGATGATCACACCCTTCTAAAATAATAATTATATTTGGGTGTCTTCTCTTTCTGTCTCAGCACCCCACCCCACCCCCGTACTGGGGATTGAACCCAAGGCCTGAGCACTACACTTCATTCCCAGCCCTTAATTCTTTCTTATTTTGAAGCAGGATGTCTCTAAGTCATTATGTTGCCAGGCTGTGCTTGACTTTGGAACCCTCCTGCCTCAGCCTCCCAGAGTGCCATCACCTACCTACTAAGCAGCCCCCAACAGTGAACACACAGGTGACTTCCGATCCCTGCTCCTAAGATGATCTTGGAATGCGGCCTCCTGCCTGTGCTTCTTTGTGTGACCCTCAGTGGCTTCCTTGAATCTTAGCTGTGAAGTTAAACCAAATTGCACTAAACTAAGGACGGACATATTTATGGCTCCTGATACGTACTGTGTAAACGCACTGTCTTCCCCTAACCAAAGTACAGCTGGGGGCTTTGATCTCCATCCACCTTCTGGTGCTGAGTTCCTTGGAGCCCAGGGTGGCAAAGTGTACTCCAGCTGAAGCACTGATGTCCTCTTAGCCCGCTCTGCCTGGGGCCCGAGATCTCCTTCCTCTGAAAGGGGCTCAGCTGTGGGCCTGATGGGCAGGACTTTCCTTCCGTTGCACTCCGTCTTCCTTCCCTGGCCCATCCTCTGCTGCTGGCCTGTCCTGCTCTTAGGGGCAGGGACATTTCCTTCCCGTCTGAGGCACAGGGCCGGTCCTCCTACTCTCTGGAATTCATTTCTCTTTCCCAACCCAGGCCACCCATCCTTGGCTCCCCTGCCTGTCCATGCCATGAACTTTATCGTAAAAACACAACTTATCAGGTACATGGTCGCCCAAGGGGAGCCGCGCCAGGCTCTCTGTTCCCTGGGCTTCGGCACAGGTTCCCACCGGGCCAAGGCCGACTCAGGGCCTCCCGCCACCCGGCCTGGCCTCGAGTGTGACCGGCCAGG